TTATAAAGTTGACATGACTCAGAAAGCCTGGGAAAGATTATTTTTTTTAACTTATTTTCTTTCCTGTGGCATATTTTCCAGAAATTTCCCTTTTAGGGGAGAAATTCCTTGACAAGGAGATTGAAAACGCCATCAACGGGGTGAAAGAGATGAAGACGGTGATGGAGAGGTCTGACGAGGACCACAAGAACTTTGTAGATGCTCTGGAGGAGACCAAGAAGCAGAAGGAGGTAAGGGCAGAAACAGGCCGAAATGGGTCCAGGGGCTCAAATAAACTGAGCCATGATGGTAACTGGACCTTCAGAATCAGGAGCCAGCGTGATCTGATGCTGCACTGAAACACTCAAAACAAGCTGCATATTTATTATGGATGTATCTGTGTCTATAGGCTTGAAAATATTTTTGGCCAGTTATTTTTTTTATAGATAGTACAGGAGAGAATGATATTAGTTAGATATGTATAAGTGTCCGACTGAGGAGTGATTCAGCTTGAAATTAATTTTATAAAGATGCGGTTTTCTATCACGTCACAAGCATGTAGAAGCCACACTTAGCTAGCGAGCGTTTGCCTCTTCCAGGATGCTCTGAAGGCAGCTAAGGAGATGGAGATCAAGCTGAATGCAGAGCAGGAGGTGTGCAATGAGACCATGCAGGCACTATGGGAGGAGTGCAAGCCCTGTCTGAAGAGAACCTGCATCAAGTACTACTCCAGGACCTGCAGCTCTGGCTCTGGGCTGGTTGGTCGACAGGTGGGCTTGCAACATAATAGCCACGTTGTGTAGACTGTTTTGATTTAGTTTTGAGAATGTTGCATGAGCCATGGGAACTGTGCTTTCTGTAGCATCTTCAGAGGGATTAGGCTGATCGTTTGGCAGGGGAGTTGACCCTTAAGATTTCAAAACCTATAATTCAGGGCTGTTCAACTAACGGTCCTCAAGGGCTGAGCCCCGCTGATTTTCCAGCCTTCCTTGACCTGGGAATCAGGTGTGAAGCCTCTGGCCAATCAGAATCAGTGATTATTAAACTAACTACCTGGCAGAACTGAAAACAAGGTCCAGATTTGAAGAGCCCTGCTATAGCCCATCATGGGTGTGGCACGTAGGTCATCACAGAAACCTCTCTGGCCTCTCTTCCCAGCTGGAGGAGGTACTGAACAGGAGCTCCCCTTTTTCTATCTGGATCAATGGGGAGAATGTGGACTTCCTGGAGAAGGAGAACGAGGAGCAAAACCAGAGGTTCCTGGACCTGGAGGGCCACTACTCGGAGGTGGCCGACACTGTTGACAGCATTTTCCTGGACAGCATGAAGGTATTCGACCACATGCACTCTTTTCACCAGCCTCTGTTCTCCAACCCCTTCATGATGCCTGACATTTTTGGACGCCATTCCCGAGTGTATCGCTCGCCGGAGTTCAGTTCTCAGTTCCACGGATTCCAGAGTATGTTCCAGCACATGATGGACATGACCCAGAACCTCTTTGGCTCACTGGGCCCCTACATGGGCACAGACCCCGACATCAACACGGACCCATCTAAAGGTGCGTTCTTCAACTGAAGTTCAAGTACCATAGGCCCGGGATGCACATAACTGGTACGCAAGTACGCATTCACCTTGCGACAGTCGATTGTTGTAACAGCACTAATGCGTACTTATTTTATGTGCATCTGCGCTGCTATGACAAAAAAACCACTGTGCCTTTTAACCTTTATACCGTGAATGAAGTACAAATTAGCACGTAAAGGTCAAAATGCACGATAATTTCATAGCAGCGCAAATGCACATAAAAATGCGTACGCATTTGCACTGTTGCACTGCAGCACGTATCGCTTTATTGTGCGTCCATGACCACTGGGCAATAAAAGGAGATGTCTCTGTCTCTGTCTGAGGTGTAGCTAGAAATGCGGGCAAAATGTCACCTTGGCTAGGCTTGCCGCTGCTAAACTGGGGGACATTAGATTTTGGGGTCCCTGAAAATGCTGAATCCCTTGAATCTGCCAAGGCTTCCATGCCCCCCCCCCCCGCTCACTGAAACACATTTTGCTGTGTAATAATACACTATAAATTCAAATTCATCAATTCGTAATATTGATATAATACAAACAAACGAAGGAAAAAAACAAAATTCTTGATTTTATTTTTGGTATTTTCCCTTTTCCAACAGATGGAAGTGTGAATGAGGACGTTGTGATTACGAAGCCGTTTGGGAAAGATCATATGACCTGCAGGGAAATCCGTCGCAATTCTGCCGGGTGCATCAAACTGCGAGAGGAGTGTGAAAAATGCAAAGCCATCCAGTCCATCGGTAACAGGCCCTTGTGGACGCTGTGCACTGTTCCGGATCATCCTAAGGCAGAATTATTGATTGTGCATGAAAAGCATTACAGTCTGCTATGAACAAGAGAACTAATTCAGTGTGTGATGCTAATGGTTTGTTTTAAACGTCTCGTGTTCCACTTGTGTCTCGTGTTCCACTTGTATCTCGTGTTCCACTTGTGTCTCGGGTTTCCACTTACCCTCAGGCATTGAAAATTAGTTAAGTCCTCGTGGCAGTGCGTGCAACACAGGTGTTAAATCAGTTGACAATATTTATTTAATTTTCTTTATCACCTAAGCAAAATGCTAAGTGCATGTTGCATATTTGTGTTCAAGGTTTCTGTTATTAATCATTATTTTTGACCAGGCCAAAAAGCACCTGATGTTAAATCAGAAGAGCCAGTAACTTCAGTCGTTGGCCTGGCTTCCTGATGTCACATGATATCACACCTCTTGCCCCAGACTGCTCAGGAACAAAGCCTTTGGACGGCCCGCTGAAGCAAGACCTGGAGGAGGCACTGGCCATGGCTGAAAGATTCACTCAGGAATACGACAAGCTCATCAGAAAGTTCGAGGAGAAGATGTTCAACACGTCCAGCTTGCTGGACATGCTGAACAAGCAGTTTGGCTGGGTGTCTGCCCTAGCTGACAAGACCAAGGACAAAGACGGAATCTTCCAGATTGAGACAGTGAGCTTCTAACCCAGACAACCATCCTGGACAGACTCTCCTCCCCAACGGCAATTTTAATTAGAAAAACATCAGGATCAAATCTATTAACATAACTAAACACTGTGTGAAGGGCAACCAACTGCAGTTTTGTGCGTGTTCTTATATGGTGGTTGCCCTAGACTGTGTATATAATTACAAGCCTGGCAGCAATTCATTCATCCATCCAATGCAACTTACAGCAGATAGACAGATGCCTAGGATATGAAACCATGACTTTCACATCATTAGCGCAACACTCTACTTGTTGAGCTACATGAGCACAGTAATTGCGATAACTATTACTTTGCATCAACAGTATTTAGAAACAGCATTTAGAAGTGTGATTCCGAAACTTCGTCTTTTCTTCTCGAGGTAATGTCGCGGACCACAGAGGACCCTAAGAGTCCTGGAGACACATCCGTGTCGGTCAAGCTGTTTGATGGCTCACCCATGACCTTCACGGTGCCCGGAGACATTCCCTGGAGTGACCCCAAATTCTCGGAAGTCGTGGCGCAGGAAGCCCTGGATCGCTACAAACAGAACACAGTGTGAGTGTGAACGCACACCGAACACATCCCCGCATGATTCGCATTGCGAGCCGGTGGTGACCCACATGTTAGTTTTGCCAAGCCAAGTAAGGGCCTATGGGTATTGAAAGAGATTAAATAACCAAAAAGTTAAATAAACATGCACTTTGTGCATTAAAAATAAAAAAGCAGAATTTTAGTTGGGTTAATGGTTAGTTAACTCAATGCTTAAATTAAATACTCAGGCAACATGTCAGGCAGGGCTAGACTGAATCTTTTTAAGGCCCCCCCATGATGGATTTTGCCGACCGGGGGGGTCGCAGTGTGCGTGTTGGCCCGTCCAGCCCAGGTGTCAAGTGAACCAAACGACACACGCTTTTTCACACCCACAAAATGTGCAAAAAGTGCACATCAGAGGCGGACATTTCAGGTCCAGAAAGTAAAAATCCAAACCAGGATTTTGTTTCAACCAACCAGTTGAGCATAAAGAGCCACAGTCAGAGTACTCAACTGGTTGGTTGAAACAAAATCCTGGTTTGGATTTTTACTTTCTGGACCTGAAATGTCCACCTCTGGTGCACATAGATTAGTCTTCCCAATCAAGGCAGTTGCACCAAATGCAAACTGAGTATTAAATTAGCATTCTTGCTTGCCTCACTGTTCATCTTTCCTCAATTTCAGAACTGTGAAGTAAACCTCTGGATGTCATTTACGTGCTCCAGCTTCAGCAGATTGTCAGAAGTCAGCTTATCACCGTAACTTCCGCCCTGCCATGAAACAGCACTCCCAGATGAACCTGGGGGGTTAGAAGGCTCTGTTCAGCTAGCACCTTAGAGACATTTCCAGAAGATTTAGCTTAGACACTGAAATCCTTGTGGAGATTATTTAGAAATTGTTTAAATCAATACTAGAATAAAGAATTTATTGCAATGGTGTCGACTACTGCTCCAGCTCTGCTATCACATTGTTGTCATACTGCTTTTCTTTGCAAATATGCCGTACTGTATTGCGAGAAAACCATCATCCTGGGCTGAATAGGTCATCTTTGCAGTATTAACAATTTTGTATGTTTCCTACACCTGTACCGTAGAAGCATTAATAAAGCAAGCAGTATTCTAGAAAACACATTCATAATGTTGTCGTCTTTTTCTTTTTTTTTTCTCCAAAAGAAAGGAGGAGATTGATGTCACCTTTGGGCCTTTGAGCGAGGCTCTTAACACTCAATTACTCCAGGGACTTGCTGATATTGCTTCGGTTTTATGTTGCTTTGGATAATATCATCTGCTAAATAAAGACGTGGAGATATGCACCAGTACAATTCACTAAAGTAATTTCCAAAACACACTTGTCAAATTTCATCTGGCAAAGATGCAGTCTTTTCAGTTCGAAGTGGATTTCAGAAATGGTCCGAATTTAAAAGTGAATTAAAATCAAGCTCAGTGGTCAAGTCTTGTGTGTTGACTTTAGTTTTATTATTCCCATCAAGTATCAAAATGCTGGAAAATAATTTTAAGAGCATCTCTCTGTAGTTCTTCATTACTGCTTGATAAACAGGCTTCTGGGAAATACGAGAGGCCATTAAAATATTGTGCTGTTTTTATTTCTTGCGTAAAAATCACACAGCGGCTAGTTCATTCTGCAGAGACACATCCATGCAGTTAAACATCTATGATCTCACAGCCATAATATAAGCAATTAAATAGAATATTTGCTGTTAGTCAGCAATTAATGCAAATTTACATATGAGATCAAAGGTGTGTATCATACAATATACAAGATACCCCTTATACAGTACATCAACCTGAACAGCAGGAGAAAGGCTCGCCTTGGTTCAAAACAGGAAAAAATATATATATATATTAAAGTGAAAACCTGAATGCCAGAAATAAGGCTTAGATGTCCAGGAGATGGAGGAAAACAAGAAAGACATGGAAAAAAACAGGTGCCAACATAATCAAATCATACTAGACTTTTAGGTGCCAATGTAAGTCAGTATTTAGGATTAGACAGAGAACAGGTGGTTATTTTTTTTTTTTTTTTAAAAAGATGTGTTTTAGAGCATGAATAACATGCAGGTCGAAATGGGTTCCAGGAGGAATGAAGGTGGAAGAAAGTGCAACCAATAAACTTCAGAATCTTATGAGGAAACAGGACTTTTTCAGATGATGAACTGTGTTAAGGAAAGGGCAGTGTCCGTGAAGGAAGGCTAGGGAAGGGGTTTAAAACGCAGAAACTGTGGCTGTCATGAATCATACGGGGGGTTGACAGGCGACTCATCCTGTTAGTTTTAACTACTGAAGGCCAAGTGAAATTAAGAGAACAGAAGAAACACACACACACACACACACACAAAATGAGAAGCAGAAGCCTTGTTGCGTGAGTGTACAGATTCGTAAGGTATGTCCAGATCAGACCAAACGCACTCGGAAAGAAAGCCTTCATGGTTACTACAGCACGCCGGATAATTCCATGGCGTTCCTGACCGCGCTGCAGGGGGAAGCGTCTCCCAGTCAACGTCCTCCATGGCCTGCACTCTCGCCAGGACGAGGGCTGGCTCCCGCGCGGCTCTGCCACCCACAGCTCTACTCAGTCTCTCACAATCGCACACACATCATGGGGAGCAGGTGCACGGGCGCCGGGATGCAGACGAGCCCCAGTGTCCCGTTTGATTCTTGCAACCGTGATGTTTAAGCTTGTAACTAAATTGGCAGGTGAAAGCGCGGGGGGGGGGCTTCCTGCCCCAAAACCGTCCAGGTTAACATGGTCTATGGCCCACTGGCGTCTGCTGGGGCGAGTCAGCTGAAGTATAGACAAGGTGTAGATGGGGGGTGGACTGGAGCATCCTGGCAGAGGTGAGGTCTGAACCAGAAGGTGGACTGGAGCATCCTGGCAGAGGTGAGGTCTGAACCAGAAGGTGGACTGGAGCATCCTGGCAGAGGTGAGGTCTGAACCAGAAGGTGGACGTGTGCATTACAGGTGTGAAAACGGTCTAAGCTGCTCAAGTTGGACCTCCAATGATATCCTCTCCTCGAGCAGATCCTGCAGCAGAAAGGCATACACACACGTCTTCAGGCTCTTTCTGACAATTTTTTCGATATCCATTTATACACGGTCTAAAAGGCTCATCTATCAGAGGGTTCTCAAAGCATCCGGTGACGCTTTCCATTAAGGGCACCTTCATAATGCATTCATAGAATATTCAGTGCACGTTCATAATGCATTCATAGAACATTCATAAGCAGCATGCAAGTACACCTTAACATCCTAACATCCTTTAACAGCTTTAATATACATTAATAACAATTATACAATATTATAATACAATTATAATGCTTGTTATTATTATATAATGTATATTACAGGGATGTTAAGGTACACATACATGATGTTTATAAATGTTTTATGAATACATTATGAAGGTGTCCCGAAAGTTTTATGAATGCGATACAGAAGCATTATGAAGGTGCAGTTCATGTAAGGCGTTACCCAACATTCTTTACCTTCAGCTGCTGCTGCAGTTCGCTATTGAGTCTGGCCAACACCGTGTTTGTCTCCTTGTTTCTTCTGATAGAGGCCTGTATGGCCTTCTTATCCTTACCGACTGATCTGTTAGACAACACAGGAGACTTCACGTCACGTGATCAACCGTGAACATGTCAACGATTAGGGAATGACGTCATTGCACTATTGAGGTAGTAATCCAAATACAGTGAAGAAATACCTGGCTGGCACAATAAAGATGTAAGCAAACGTGCCGTTAGATTTGTTGCTGAGCACCTGCATAAATGAGGTACCAGCACGTGCCCAGGTGCAGATCTCCCTGGACAAAATGAATAATGACTAAATAAGCTGCTCCTTTTCCCAGTTCGAGCTCGACCTCATACCTGGGGATGGACAGCTGTGTGCTCAGCACGGCCGGCACCACGTTCTGCTTCTGCGGGGGCTCCTCCGCCTCCGGTCTCAGCTCATCCTCCGACTTTAACCTCCGGCGCACAGGCTTTGGGGGCGGGGCCAGGGGTGTGGCCCCTTTGGTCTGGGGAGATACGAGCAAACCTGAGCACATCGCAAGGCGTGGAACAAGACTCTCCATATCAGCAAGTACTACATCAGCAGGAATCATTCATCAAAAAGATCTTTCTTGGTCTATAAACTGGATTCTACGCACAGTACTGTGCAAAAAGTCTTAGGCTGTCGAAGAAAATGTTTAAAATCTTCATTTTGCTGTAAAACTACAATATTATGTCTAAGTGTAACAGCTTAGCTATTTCTAAACCTCCCCTAAAATCTCCACAATCTAAAATGTACGTGTATTTTTTTGATTCGACCAATAGCTAACTACGTTTAGCCAATCGAGTGAGCTGGCAGAGAACTTTAATGAATGCATGGAATGACTAAGATGGCCCTGAGGAGAGGTTTGGGAACCAGAGCGATGTTCATATTAGCTTCCCAACCTTTGCACAGTGCTGTATGTGCAATTATGAGCTTTGGAAAGAACCAGTTTGTTTATAGACCAACAGAAAGATGCAAATGGCTCTCGCTGGATGTTGATGCGAGTCTGCAGGGTGCACTGTCCTACACACCGAGTTCACAGTAGCTGTGGCCCTGTCCTCGGCCTGAGGATCGGCCTTCGGGGTGCGTAACGAAGCCGGCGGCTCACCAGGCTTCTCCGGTTGCGTGGGCAGACGGCAGGCGCTCTGTGCAAACACCCGTAACGCAAAGGTCTGAGCATCACCGCTGTCATCACGTTCATGCACAGTGACAGCGATACCTGGCTTACTCATACATGAAGATTCTTCTGAAACAATCCAGAATGGTTACCTCCATCCAAGGGCACAACAAGCCGGGCTCCGACTGACGAGTCAAACTGCCGATAAATATCTGTGCTTCTTTACGCGAGAATCGCGCCAACCAGCAGGGGGAGTAGTAGGGTAGCACTTACTCCACCTGAATGTTTGGTAGCGCCCGGACGTAGGAGCCGGTGGTGGGGGGGGGGGGGCTCCCCACTAACCTGAGCTCCCTCCGCGTGCTTCTCCGTCTCTTCCGAGGGCTGCTCCACGGCGAACGCCTGAAATTGGCTGAAGTCGGCAAAGTTGGGCTGCTCGGGGATCTGCTGGGGCGAGGTGCTGGCGTGGGGCCCCAGGCCGTCGCCGTCCGCCGGGCGGTGTGCATGTGAGCCCGCGGCCTGGGGTCAGAGGTCACACAGGTTAAGCGGGGAGCCAGGTCTCCGAGGGAAGTGGCAAGTTCCCTCTCAAAGGACCGGCTATTGTCAATGAAAATGAAACGGCCTGCATTAAAATACGAGCAGTAATGTATGTATATTCATGTATATTCAAGCTATAAATTATTAAAAACAATTTTTAAAAATGACGACCTGCAAGAAGCACCATATTCTAGTGCTTTCTCACCAGAGGTGGGGAAAAGTGCTGTTCTTATGGGTTTATATGAAGCCATTCATCAATCAGCACATTTGACGACACTTAAGAAGTTACAGGTAAAGGACAAAAAGTCAAATAACTCGGTGCTTCATTACAGAAGTGTTTCCCAATCCAGTCCTCAGGGACCCTCAGCCAGTCCATGCTTTTCATCTCTCCAAGCCCCTGGTGGGCTTAGCAAAAACATGGCCTGTCAGGCAGGGACCAGGGAGGGAGCAAATACGTGGACCGGCTGTGGGTCCCCGCGGACCGTGTTGGGAAACGCTGCATTACAGCAGTGACTGCAACGCCAGGCAGCTCACGTCTGCTGACAAGGTGTGAAGATGGACGAACCTGAGTCGGCTGCGGCCTGGGGGGCACAGCCGGGGCATAGGGGACAACTCCGGTTTGCTGCTGTCCTGGGGGGCCCAGCACGGGGAGGGGTTAAACGGATTTGCCGCATGCACATAAATAAATAAATAATAAAAGCCAAGGAAGTCTTTGGAGAGAGCAGCTGCGTCAGTACCTGCAGGGACGGCGGTGAAGCTCCTGTTCATGTCTAAAGACGAGGACCTCGAGTGCGAGGCGTGGGGCCGGGGGGGTGGCGGGGGGGGGGCCACTGCCTTAAGCCCTTCAGGAGACGTACCCGAATGAGACCTACAAGGGGGGGGTCGGGGGAGAAGCGTTCACAAGCGCTTTGGCACTCTGTCAAGTTCAAATGGCAACCATGTATTTACACAGTTCGGGGTGAAACAGACACTCGGGGTAAAAACAGACTGTTCACAGGAAACAGAAGGCAGCCAACCTCTGCCTCGTGACCACACTTGCAATCGGTTCTTGATCCGAAGTGAAGGAATCAGAGCTGCTGTAACCGTCACCTGATTGGGCGGAAAAAGGCCATAAAAGCATGCACTTCTGGACAGCTTTCCCTAAGATGCAATACAATGGGCCTCAAAGCCCTTTCTACACCGACCCGGCAGCCCCATGGAGGACAGACAGGAAAACCTCCATCCAGGCGGGTGGGGAGCTACTGGGATCCATAATGTCGTATCAACATCTATGACCTCGCGGCAAGAACTAGGTTCAGTGAATAAATATTCATTTACAGATATAAATGAATGAACAAACAGCTACATTTCAAGATATCTATTAAAACTGAAACGTTGAAATAAAAAAAAAAAATGCTTGCACATGAAATGAAATGCGAGATTCCCCTCAAGATCAACCCCCTTCTCCAAATGCGAAAACTCTCAGGAGATGCAGCTAAACCAAGGAGACCAAACACAGACCACCTAACACTCTGCAGTGCAAACTGCTACAGGTGTCTGGAAGCTGAACTACTGCATGCAACCCGATGGCAGCTTAGTGGTTTAGAGCCTCTGGATGCGGCCAGGCTGCACCCCGGTCCCTACGGGGAGGCAGACGCATACCTACGGGGTTGCTGGCTCCAAACTTTATAGAATTTGGCAGCTTATTTTCTTCTGACAGCTCAGGCGGTTTGGCCATCAGAGGGCTTGTGGGATGAGCATGGTCTGCGAAGAGAAGACGACAAAAGCAGAATGTTTGTATATTGAGCACATTTCGCAAACGTCACCCAAAACTGTCCGGTAAGGCAGCAACACTCCTGTGATTGTCAGTGATAGTGCAGGTCAGGTGACCTTGTACCTTGAGTTATGACCGCCTACGTTCTGCTTCAGTCTGCTCTCACAGACGCAGACCACGGTCCTGATGCCAGCCTGAGACCTGCACTGCATCCCCCACTGGAATCTTGCCCTGTTTACTTCCTGGTATTGTGCTGTTCTTGCCTGTTCCCAGTTCCCACTAACTCCTGAACGGAAGACCCTGCCACAGTTAACTTGTTGCCCAGGACTCAGTCTCTGTGTTACATTTCCTATCCTGCAAGACGCTTTCATGGTCTCTAAATACGGTGTTCCTATACATGTGTTTTACACGTTAAATAAGAGCAGCAATTTAATATGCAATCTGAGTAAAAGTTAATGTACGACAAGCTGAGAATTATGTGGTTTTAAACACATGGCTGCAGAGGCAAAAGAAAAACCCAACTAATTTGCTGTGGAGTTTAAAAATGCACTTGGGGTGCATTAACTCACATATACCACAGTTACTACACATCTGGCTTACACTCTGCACCTAAAGACATTTTCAATTTATATGGCAAAAAAGGGTTTATTAGAAGAACTACTGTTTTCCACCAACGAATAAACATTTCCGTTAATTTTAAATTGTGTTCTGCAGCCGGAACATTAAGTCGTGTCAATTAGAATTAAAGATTATAACTGTGCAGTAGTTTACTACAGTGATCCGCTTGGACAGCACTACGCATGTGTTAAAAAAAAAATTTAATTGATCAACAACCTTTTGACCATGCAGATTCAAGAATTGAACAGTGCTGGGATATAACAATGCTTAACAGATTAACACTGTACATAAAGATCCACAATAACTCAAAGGGGGGCAGTAAGGCTATAGAGCATTAAGGCAGTGTTTATCAAACCAGTCCTCAGGGACCTCCAGGCAGTCCATGTTTTTGCGTTTTGGGAGGGAACAAAAATGTGGACCGCCTGGCAGGCAGGGACCGGGGAGGGAGCAAAAATGTGGACCGCCTGGCAGGCAGGGACCGGGGAGGGAGCAAAAATGTGGACCGCCTGGCAGGCAGGGACCGGGGAGGGAGCAAAAACATGGACCGCCTGGCAGGGACCAGGGAGGGAGCAAAAATGTGGACCACCTGGCACGGACCGGGGAGGGAGCAAAAATGTGGACCGCCTGGCAGGGAGCAAAAATGTGGACCGCCTGGCAGGGAGCAAAAATGTGGACCGCCTGGCAGGGACCGGGGAGGGAGCAAAAATGTGGACCGCCTGGCAGGGAGCAAAAATGTGGACCGCCTGGCAGGGACCTGGGAGGGAGCAAAAATGTGGACTGTCTGGCAGGGACCCGAGGGCCGGATAGGGAAACTCTGCCCTAGGGGAGACTAAAGGAAGACGCCCCCGCTGAGACGGGGATGGAGGGGGTCGTTACCGCTTCCAGTTCTCTTCAGCTCCATCTCCTGCATGTGGATCTTGCTGGGGGTCATGCGGATTGGGACGGGATGCACTATCGCCGTGTCCTGTGCAGGGGAAAGACACGCCCCGGTTGGCAGCCGTCATGCCACGTCACCCGCGAGCTGTTCACCCCGGTAAACCTCCTCAAATCCAACATGGCAGCCAAACTATGTGACTAAATATACCAGTTAGTATTTGATCCTTTTGCAGTTCTAACAGATGCATCAAAACACGTCAGACTCTTTATAACAAAATTTCATCTAGTCATCCACAAAGAGAGGTTAAAACCAATCAATTACTTATATGTTAAGCAGTTTCTGAACTGGCTGAAAACTTTTTTTCAACTCAATGTATAAATGGAAGGAAAGCAACATCTAAGAAATGGATCAATATCAGCATAGGATCCTTTTACTTAATTAGTGGTTTAAAGTAAATTCTTAATTAGCATGAATAAAAAAAATCATTCTACCTGGGATTTAACAGACATTCAAAGCAAAGACTGGCAGCATAACTTGTGAGGTGTGTTTGATAAAGGCATGCTTGTAACTGATAGGTGATGCCATACTGCATCTGCTGTGCATAGCGTTAGCATGTGACCTGGGGGGGGCAGAGTTAATAAAACAATTAATGAAACAGGCACACTCAGTGATTCACTTACAGGATCAGCTGGTGCAATGTTAGAATCAAATTGGGTCAGAGTTTGTGAGCTTGAAGAGCGTTCGCTAAAAGTCTCCCACTGCTGGAGAAAATCAGAGACAAAATCAGCGCTGTGT